AGGGAGGGGGGGGGGGGGGGCGGCAATAAACTCCCTGATGTGAAATTGTAAGAAATTTAAAAATTGATCAGAGATAAGTTGACATTATGTAAGGGAGTTAAATTTGCTAACATTACCCTCCAACCATTGGCTATCCCATTCGGCCTCAAATGATTTGGCCCCTATCTGAAACAGAAGGTGAGAAGGCGAACTTGCATGTAGAAAATATATTGGAATGGACACAATATTGTTGTTATACTGTAATCTGAAAACAAAAATTTCCCTGAGACATACATTGGGCCATACAATCATGCACATAGTTTTGACTATCAGATGTAAGCAGCATAGTGAGTCACATTCATGGCCAAAGACATATTAGGTTGATTATTTTACATAATAATTTTTCGTCATTTGCCACACATGTAATCGGTGAAGGATTCAGGATTATCAGGCATGGAAATAACGTTTTAAACGTGCTATATAAAACTGTGTTCAATATTCATACTACATGATGGGCATATGGCCAAACAAACACCTTTACACTTGTGCTTTTTTGCTCAAATTTACGCACGCATGATTTTGTATACATAATATAGATTCAAATCTAGCAATTCAAATTCAAAACTCATGGAGTCATGCATGACATCTATCTATAATTTATATTTTCTTGAAATGTTGGGTGATTCATTGTTATCGCCGTTGTTGTAACCCAGTAAACAGACACACACCGTTTAGACATGTCACATATCGTTCTTGTTCCTTAATCCTTACAACAGACGATGATAAAGCTTCGTATTGCTTCTCTTTAATTTCCAGTCCGGCTTTGTCCAGTCTTTGAAGGGTCTTTACAAGCGCGTGTTGAAACAGGTCATCTGTACAAGAACCCATGATGTTTCGAATCACAGCAACCACTTCAAGCATATTTCGACTCGATCATGTTTACATCATACATGAAAATTGATACATGTAATACGAGACCGAAATATGGTTGTATTTTGACGAATATCAACGATATAACGAAATATAAAACTGCAATATGTATAATTCCATTAGGTGGTCTGCACATATTCCCTTAATGGTGGAAAATACATCAAAACAAAAGGAAAATCCAATATTTCTGCTCACCAACACGTCTCTACTCCTCAGTAAAAATTAATGCACAGTCAGCATTTTTTAGCTGCAGCAGAGAACGTTTACTTCCGGAAAACACCAGAATTTGTGGTGTTCCGGTTCGGCTTGTCCCAGGGCTTACGGCAACGCAGGCAGCCGAGAAGCCCTGGGAACGAGGATGCCATAGCCGAGACTCCCTGGGAATGAGTTGAAACCATTTCTCTCGTACCCAGGGCCCTTACGCGCGTTCGACCCAGCCAACGAGGGGCTCTGGCCAAATCCATAACCGGATACCATAAAAACATGAAGATAACAATATCCGGTGTTAGAACTAGCCAATCGGATGCCAGTTCGGATATGGATTTGGCCAGAGCCCCTCGTCGCACCGCGCGTAAGAAGGGCTCTGGGTACGAGAATGGCAAGAAGTGTTGAGTCAATCTCGTTCCCCGAGCCTGCGATCCTCGGGAAGGAATCGAAGGCTCTGGGATAATCCGTTACCGGAAGCCAAGAATCCTGGCTAAGATTGAACTACGCATTCCATTCCAATGGCCAATCAGATTCCTCCCTGAAACGGATTATCCCAGAGCCTCGCGTTCCTTCCCGAGGATCGCAGGGTCGGGGAACGAGATTGGTGTTGAGTAATCAAATTGTGAGTAACATGAAGACAACAACGTCTGCTTCTTGGACATAATCTTGCAGCATGTGTGGTTCTGGTGGGGTTTACGATCTTTGACAGCATTAATTAAAACTCACTATTACACGCCTGACAAACTTCTTTGAGAACTGCAACATATTGTATTGCATTAAATGAATTCACCATAATTTAGTTGTGTTGAGCTATCTACAACTAGTTTACAACTCACAAAATACTAAACAGAAATATGTATTTATAGCATAAATATTTACAATTGTTTACATTGGACCAGCCACGGTAATCTAAAAGCTTGATGTGTTCAACACTGTTTTATTCAATAAGTCTTCCCGAACTGTTCGAATACTGGGATAGGCGAGACAACGGTACGAAACCTCTGAAACAAAAATTCAAAAGAAAATTGTAGGCTTCATCTTTACCCGATTCCCCCCATTTCTGCATGTATATTCACACATCGTATCGTGTAGCAGAGGCCAGTAACATACCTCTTGGGTCACGTGTTTGTCACATTCTTCTCGGAAATGTTTCGAGCCATAGGGTAAGCTAAAAAGAAAAAAATAGGTTTTTACTCGTTTCCAACCATCAAACTGACGTCATTTTCTCAATTTTTCAAGATTAGTGTGGTGTAAGGGGGTTGAGGTTAGGAGTTGGGTTAGTTACATAGCCATTTAACACCTCTTTGAACAATGACGTCATCCAACATTGTTATGTCTGTTTGAACATTGCATTTGCAGTTTGGTTATGTTCGACCAGGTTTGATTTTATTCAAAATGTTTATGGAGAAAGAATGAGGATGTCGGAATGTTGAAAATGGTCTGAAGCCGCGACGAGCGACATTCTTCTCCTGCACATTTAATTAAGAGAAAGGATAATCGACATGTATTTTTATGTATTTTCCAGGTTAAGAACCAACCTTCCAAAAGTTGATTTCGTATGGAGCAGAGGGTTGTAGACTTTCTCGTGATGAGTGAAAGGCTGAAATCTGAAACAAAGGTACGACAATTAGAAAATTAAAAAACGCAATTATTGGCAATTATAAACTATTATTACTCTCACACAACACTTACGGTTTTTCAACCACTCTTGCTATCCATTCTTCTGTTTTCATTTTTGCCCTAAAAAGATAACAATACGTCATTGCCCTGATTTATGCTGGAGACGAGCTTACGCAATCTTCAGAATTCTTAATGAGCTAATATTGCGCAATCTTCAGAATTCTTAACGAGCTAGTATTGCGCAATCTTCAGAATTCTTAATGAGCTAGTATTGCGCAATCTTCAGAATTCTTAATGAACTAGTATTGTGCAATCTACAGAATTCTTAATGAGCTAGTATTGCGCAATCTACAGAATTCTTAATGAGTTAGTCTGGCGCGATCTTCAGAATTCTTATAGAGCTAGTATTGTGCAATCTTCAGAATTCTTAATGAGCTAGTATTGCACAATCTACAGAATTCTTAATGAGCTAGTATTGCGCAATCTACAGAATTCTTAATGAGCTAGTCTGGCGCGATCTTCAGAATTCTTATAGAGCTAGTATTGCGCAATCTTCAAAATTCTTAAAGAGCTAGTCTTGCGCGATCTTCAGAATTCTTAATTCAAATAAGCTTTGAAGGGTACATTTTGAATTTTGTCCTCATATACTCTGGAGGTTATAAGCGTCGCTACAGGTTCGCTGCATTCAGACACAGATGAATTATCAGACCGCTATCTTCTCTTGGCCTAGTTCCTCCAGACGTATTGACGAGTCTCATGATTTAAATTTTAAAATACCCAATTCCTGTACCTGCTTTCTTCCACTGAGGTATAGGCGGTCTGTACTCGTAATGTTGGGTTTAAAGGCCGATGACGTTGATACGATACTTCATCTTGTTTGCGGAATGGTCCCTACAGAATGAAACCAAGTTTATTTATAGTAGATAGCGAGATCAGTTCCAAGCTCTACTGTCTCTGGAGGGGACAAGTCCAGTAAGTGGCATTCCCGAATTGTCTCATGGCGTTAACTACAAGAGGACATTCAAAATCTGCGGTGTTTGGCGGTCTGTGGTTAAGTGGTTTCCAGGTATACAGTCAAACTTGAAGCTTTAAGGTCTCTTCTCACGCCTGACAGTTATTCTTTGCTGTGACATGGGTTAAAAACGTACAAGAGGCTGTATACAAATATCAAATGGAAGCATTTCAGACCGAAAAGTTTGCGCACGAAACATTTTTTTCTTTGGGAAAAATGCGCAAAAATGTTGGATATCCTGCAGTCAGAAAGTGTTTTTGTCTAATAGGAAGATCAGAAATCTGCTTGGTTCTTGGTTCACAAAGGCATTTTGCTTATCCAGATTCTTCAGAAATTATTTGCAGTTTTTTTTACAATTTGGAGAATTTTGCGGAAACTTTCATAACTACAAGAATCCTTGCGCAGAAATTAATTTCCACCAAAGCCAAAACTTTACAGTTTGGGTAGCATTTTAGTAATTAACCTGTGCAGACTTTCCAATGGGTGGTAATACTGAAGACTCAGCATTAAGGCTTCTTGACGTTGTATTTGCGGAAACAGTCTTGTGTTTTCGAAGTTGACCACGTTGTCTGGCAGACCTGAGTTCGACTTCCTTCGTTCTTAGTTCTGGGTTAAATCGCGCGTTATAAACTCCAGGAATTTGGACAGTACTGAGAAGGTAGTGATGGCGTTTGTTGTACGCTTCTTTCGTCGCCTGGAATGGATAAACACATGCAGTGTATAATGAAACACATTTCACAAAGAACGATGATAAAATTTGAAAAGAATGAAAGGCTCTAAAGCTTAGAGCAAGTCTTCCATTTTAATAATATTAATTAATATACCTCTTCATCCTTTTGTCTTTCAATTTCTTTTTCTCGTTCTAAACTTATTCTCCATACTTCTAATTCTTTCCTGTGTGAGATCACAGTGGTATTTCAACACATTGATGATATTTTAACTAGCAAATTTACTTTTATAAATAGGACTGTTAGTGTTCGTTTATAGCACTGTCATACCTGACAATTGAATTTTTCGTTTTCAGTCCTTCTAGATATCGTTTTCTGCTGTAATAGTTATGCATGTATTTCCTGGTGTAATATCCTACACGTAAAATAGAAAAACTTAGAATCATTACTGTGCTGTTAGGAGGACAAGCCCAAAATACTTATTGGCATATATGTACTGTATATTTACAAGATGAGTGGCTCACTGTGGCTGTGTTGTATCAGATATACAAATCCTATATCCGATACAACACAGATGTGAATGTTGTAAATGGCTTGTGAATGTCTTGATGAGAACAATCGTATTCTTCAACAATTTAAAATAAATTAATGATATTTGGTGAGAAAACTGAACTTTATGTAAATCAGCATGATTCTGAAACTGTTTCACACTCGTGATTTCTCTTGTGTTAATTTTCTCGTGAATTATTAATGAGTTTCACAAGGAATGATACATGTACATTGTCATGAACATGCTAAAGTGACAATTACAAACCTCTCCATGCTTTTTGAATCTATAAAATTAACAATAAATGCACATATAAGTATCAAAGTAATGGCTGAAACAAAGATTTGGGATAATTTATTAGTAGCTACTGTTCCCCTGCCTAGTGTCTGCTATTGTCCATGCACAGAATACTATGATATATATAATTTATTGGTTACCCTGGTTGCCATAGAGTTGTAATATCTTTCTCGCATTTGTACAACAGCATCCTGCACTATATCTCGATACCAAATTCTATCCAAATGACCTCTATATCGTCTTTGAATCACAGTAGCACAATGATGGAGAAACCTTAAAAATTACAAAATATTCTACTTATCATTGATGGCATGGAGCATAGTTCTCCTGTGGTTCCAGCCATTGATAAGAAAAACTTTCAGAAGGATGCTATAGTCAAAGTCTCTCTTTTTCAATGCCAAAGAGCATTCTGTGTACAAAAGTTACTAAAGTTCAAAGATCTCCAGACTGGAGTCAGGACTCAGCTTGGCAAAGTGGTTCTTTGACCAGTTTTGTTATAATTGACACATGTGCTTTTGGCATTTTCTCCACTTGTGTTATTGTAGGAATTTTTGCATTTAACCTGTGTGGTCTAATTATATATATATATATTTATTTAGTAAGTTTGGGTACTTTACACTTTACCACACCGCAAGTATTTGATGGCGTGTGTTCTGATGGTTTTTCTGTTCTTTTATTGGTGTGTTTTGATGGCGTATGTATTCAGTGATTACTCCAGTACGGTAAAGTGTAAAATTTGCCATAAATCATGCTTCTGGAAAGTATGTCACATTGGCTATTAGAGTGCTGTTTTGTGATTGAAACTGGACTTTAAATGTCATATACATGAAAATGGTGTATTATTAATATATTGCAATGTCATATTATTTCTCTTCCATTACAAAAAGTTCCTATAGAAATTTCAAACTATTCCTATAGAAATTCCTTTAGGAAATTTTATTCCTATAGAAATCTGAACTTCCTGTGGGAAATTTGGATTCTTATAGGAAAGGATTGGTCATCATGTCATTCTCATGAGCTTGCAACTTCACCACAGTGATTTACCGCGGGAAAATGTTCACGTCATAAGAGAAATTCCAAATTTGGACACCAACATCCTAGCAAAAATCCTGGTTCCCATAGAAATGAAATATATTGATCAGCTTTGCATGATTACTTGAAGGACTTTTTGGATTCCTTGGATATTTCTCGAATTACATCATGACTCATTTGCCTTCATTGAAAACATATCATATTCCAATTTCCAATAGATTGTTTTACATAATATTTATTATTATCTTATTTCTTACTTTAAAAACGCTCTAACTTTGATGCCTCTGAACCAGCTTTGAATTCGTACTGCCGAATCGTACTCTGTCTTTCTGTTGCGTTCGCCTTCCCTGTGAAGAAAAAACCGGAATACAAATCTCGTTACCAAACAAAGAATTTTTGTATCACTTTTTATTCACCAAGTCAACTCGAACGCACTATATTACAATATTTTATTTCCTGGTTATTTTATAAATAAAACACAAAAGCGGATGTCATTTTGCACGGAGCGTTTTCCTAAATTAAAGAAAGCAAAAATTCTGGCAATTATACCTTAACTTTCTGAATAACTCGTCTTTTATTGACGAGGTCTCCACTTGCAGCCGTACAAAGGTCGCCATATTTGTTTTGGATTTTACTCGGTTGCCATGGTAATCAGGTGGCCATTCGACTGCAGTCGTCGACAATTTTTCTACACAACATTCAGTGACCTTCAAACCGGAATTTTTTTTGCTAAAAGCTAAAGATTAACCAATTCAGCCTCTTTTTTTCGTTTTACAAGGATCTATTATTAAAATGACATCATTTTTTACTTCACAAGGAAGTATTGATGCTCATATTACGTCAATGACGTCATAACGATTTCGTAACTGGCCGTATATACGACGTCATGCCGAACAATCACGAACATTGTGTGCAAATTCGCGCAATTTGATTGGTTAACGATGAGTAATGGTTTTTATTTAGCTCATGGCAAGCGCCGATATGGACGCCTTTTGTGTGCAAGAAAAAGTGAGGTTTTTTCCTCGTTTCTTTTTATTTCACGTTCCAAAACGGTCGTACATGAAACCTAAAAGATTAAGGAGTAGTTTGTAGTAATTATTTCATTGAAAACTAACATTTTTTACGTTTTTTTGGACTTCAATTAAAGTGTGTATTTCGTCGCGGGGTCTGTGGGAATTTACGTGTAAACAAAGAAATATAGAAGAAGTTAGATTTAACATCGCTTTGTGTTAAATCTTAATGGTGACTGTTATTAAACAACGTTTTGTACTCGAATATACTGCTGGAGAGTCTACGTGTAGAATTATGAGCAGGAAAAGTGACGGGTCGTGTAATGGTAATGGCAGTCGACCAAATAGTGGAAAAACCGGCGAGCGGTCGGGCTGTTTTTTCGCCAATATTAAATCAATTTTACCATGTGAACTTTCTAAACTTATTGCAGGAGATAGCGCGAAAACGGACGAGCTTGTACTTATTGATTGTCAGTCTTTCGGGGAGTACAGTTCAAGTCATATCACTGGAGCTCTTCATCTCAATTGTACGGGACTTGTAAAACGTCGTTTAACGCAAGGGAAAGTGAAATTACATGATCTTTTTTCATGTGACCAAAGCAAAGAACGATTTTTGCAAGCAAAGGTTACCAATAGGCCAGTTATTGTGTATGATAATGCTTGCGATTCTATCGAAGTTAGTTCTTCATCAAAACCTATTAGCTTAATAACTCGGACGTTACTAAACGAAGGCACAAATACCCTAATCTTACAAGGTTTGTATTTTTAATCAATTCATTTCAATAAAAATTTTAATCAATACATTTATAAAAAGTTCTAAGCACTATGACATACATTTTAGTGTTATTGAAGCTCAGTTTCCTTGTTAGCTATAACAATTCTATGACATCATTCTTCTTGAAAGACATTAGCATAAATAGCAAAATTGTTGACCAATAGCAACGAAGGAATGCTTTGTGTAAATTGATGTCTTTCTACAGAACACAAACATTAGCATAAATAGTAACTCTATTAACCAATAGCAACCAAAGGAAATGCGTGTAAACAGATGGTAACGATGGTATCAAGATTCAAGAATATTGCAAAGTCATGGCCTGATGACCTTATAACTGCTGACTTTGCAAAAATAGCCCTTTATGTAATAATAAAGCATATTTGATGATGACTTTGCAGAAAAAAACAATAACCCTTCATTGACAAAACTAATATTATGTAACAATTTTAAAGCCTGACCTTATCAAATCCTTCAAATGGTTGTTTTATAAAAAAAAACATTGAAATTTCATGTTTATAAAATAAACAATGGACAATGTTTTTATCTATGATTATCATGCTTAGTTGCAAATAATGATAGCTTCATAACACTAAGTTTCATACGAGTCACAATTTAGGAAGAGTTACTATTTTTACTGACTTTTAGGATTAGGGCTTGGATTAGTATTAGGGTTAGTATTAAGATTAGAATTTAGGGTTAGGGTCAAGTTTAAAATACAAAAGAATACAAAATTACTAAAAATAAGTAACTCTGACAGGTATACTAGGTTGTGTTTTTTTGTTGTTGGTGTTATGTGTACTCAGGTGAATATGATGTTTGTGATGTTACTCTGAGTGTGCATCCACACCGGGCAAGCTGAAAATGTTCCCTGACCATTATAAAAATGCTAAATTCTTCTCTGACATATTTATTACAGGTGGACTAAAGGAATTTGTGCAACAACACCAAAATCTATGTGAATCTGTGTGTCATGCAACAAAGTATGAGCCAACTGTGGTTGAAAAACTTGTTGGTGCGACGCATAAACTTACCACTGCTACCAGCGAGAGGGATGTCTGTAATGGAAGCGTAGCAAATGGACCACCTGTGTCGGAAATCATTCCTCGGTTATTTATTGGTAACAAGATAAGCGCATCAGACGAATCTCTTATCGATAGGCTAGATATCAAGTATATTTTGAATGTGACTAAGGACCATCCAAATTACTTTCAGCATCGACCTGACCTCATTTATAAACAAATTTCAGTGAACGACTCAAGTAAGGAAGATATAGGGATGCATTTTGAAGATGCCCTAAGGTTCATTGGTAAGTTTAGTTTAGTTGTGGTCTCCTAGTAATCTTTAAAGCTCTTTTTCATATTTTCTTTTATGTATAAATACACACTTTGGGAAAGTATGTCCTGGTATAGAGCCCCGTTTTCATGATTGAGATGTTGGCCTTAACTAATATCATATACAGGGATATGAGGCTCTTTACCCAAAGTGATTTTCTTTCTGGAAGACTGTATACCAATTAGTCTTTCTCGTCCCCAGGCGCTTTGATTTGCTGCGCCGTTTCGTGAGGAATGGAAATTTGGACGGGCGAAGTCGGAACCCGCGCGTCTGAGTTGGAGCCTGGGGACGAGGCTGCTTTCTTGCCAAAATCCACCATTTTTGGGGTACTGTCTGTCCTTGTGAAAGATTTGAGACAATAAAGAAATTGGTCCATACCTATTTTGTTAGTTTATTCTGTCTGATGCCAGGCAATTGGATCTATCCAGAGCAAGTTTTGGGCGTGATAATGTTAACCAGAGTGAATATTTTGCAATCTCTTCTATTCCAATAAAACTAACAAATTTTTTTTCCATTGTAGATGAAGGTCGGAAAAAAGGAAAGGGTGTCCTAGTTCACTGTCAGGCTGGCATTTCAAGATCTGCAACCGTTGTCATTGCATTTCTAATGAAACATGAAAGGCTGACGTTGAATGATGCTTACAGGCTGGTGAAGGAAAAACGACCAGTCATCTCTCCCAATCTGAATTTCATGGGCTCCTTGTTGAAATTTGAGAAGACTTCATATCGATGTTAAAGGCATGTCATTCTTGGCAATCCATTAGTTCTTTTTGTTGTGGCGTTCACTCCATAGAAGAGTGAAGATTATATATATCGCTTTGGCTTTGCGTTAGTCGTTCAGTGTTTTATTAAAGTCTGGTTTACACTATCAAAGTTTCTGTGATCACAGTAGGAATTTTGCATGGGTAAATTCTATGTTTTGAAGTATTTGAAAGACATTTTTAAGGGAAATGACTCACAGTTCCCTCAGACATTTCTTACAAACCTTCAAAACTTAGAATTTACCTATGCAAAATTCTTTCTGTGATCACAGAAACTTTGATAGTGTAAACTAGGCTTAAATTTCTGTTTATTGATTTGTTAGTTGTAAGGGGAAGGGGGCAAGAATTAAATAACGGCGCACAGGGTTTGGGAATAAGCTTCATATGGTAAGAATGCAATTTAGCCTAATCATAAATTAATTAAAAGGCCCACTCAGATAATAAAATTGACAAATATGTGAATATCTTCATTGCTATTGATCAAAAATAAGAATATTGCATGAGGAAACGCAAAGGCAAAAATTATTCTGTTTCTTGATTGATATATAATTGTGACTGTGTTGTATTGCATCACGCTGCTATTCCCCGTGGTGACAACGTAATAATAAATTAAGAAAAAAATGCTTCGCCAGCAATAATTTTGTTTCTTCATGATTTACCGCAAATGCAAAATAAGAAATAAAAATGCCAGTACAAGCTTTTTTATATTGTGTCATGGAGCTATATATAACAGCCATTACCAAAATCAGATGTCGAATGTTTCAATTACGTGGATATAATGTAGTTGTAGTGATCTGCGCTGTGAAAGAAGATACACCTACCTGAAAAAATGAAAAATATAAACACACCTTCGACGTTTCGAGCGAAGGCACGTCGTTTGTCGGAAAGCTTGTAGCCTTGACTCCCCCTAGGCCTCCCCTAGGAAAGAGGCTCGATTACCAGCCGTGGGCTTCCCCGAATGCCGGCTGGTGATCGAGCCTACTACGAAGGGGCTTCTCTCGAAACGTCGAAGTTGTGCTTATGTTTTTCTGGTAGTTGTATATCCATCACACCACGGCTGTCTTTATCGTCACTATACCTACATTGGCACAGACCTCTGAGACACAGTCCATTCGAGATTTGATAGTGATCTGTCCTGCACTGTATGTATGTATGTATGTATGTTAGCAAAATCACTACACGTTAGCACGTTCTTCTTTCAAACGCTATAATTCTGTTACTGAAAACACCAGAGTTATTCAGTTTTAAGAAATTTCGTTCCATGAAGCCAGATCTTATCATCTTGATCCAGACTTAAGGACCGAAATTCTCCTGCTGTTTCCCGCAAGAGCAAGTAATCAACTTCGTCTTTGGTATAAATATTAGCAAATCTTTGTAAAAATCAAATTTACCTAGTTGCGCAAGATTATAGATTTATATTGATTATTCTAAGGTATTAATTAATGTAGTCAAGCTTGATTTTTTTGTTATTCTCTTTAAATCAATGACAATGTACATTCGGGCCGGGTTATGATAATGTATATAGTGTGTAAATTTCCTTTTTGGCGATAAAAATAAATTTTGGCACTGTCTGCAATGAATTTAGTTGTATGGTCACTCAATATCATCATCACCACCCACCAACGTCACTGCCATTATCACCATCACCACCAACATCATCTTCACCACCACCCGCCATCATCACCACCATCACCACCACCAACATCTTCACCACCACCAACATCTTCACCACTCACCATCGTCACCACCATCATCATCTTCACCACCACTCGCCATCACCACCACCAACATCTTCACCACCACCAACATCTTCACCACCACCAGCATCTTCACCACTCACCATCTTCACCATCATCATCTTCACCACCACTCGCCATCATCACCACCACTCGCCATCATCACCACCACCAACATCTTCACCACCAACATCTTCACCACCAACATCTTTACCACCATCATCTTCACCACCACCAACATCTTCACCACTCACCATCTTCACCACCATCATCATCTTCACCACCACTCGCCATCATCACCACCACCAACATCTTCACCACCACCAACATCTTCACCACCACCAACATCTTCACCACCATCATCATCACCACCACCATCATCTTCACTGGCACCACTCATCACTACCATCATCATCATAATCACCACCATCATCACCGCCACCACCATCATCTTCACTGGCACCACTCATCATCACTACCATCATCATCATAATCACCACCATCATCACCGCTACCATCATACATAACCAACCATATTTATATTTTCTAATCTATTCTTATATCTTCAAATGTTGAGGGAAAATTTTTATTAGCTCTGCCACGTCCTCAATTAATTTCCCCAGATTTTAATTAGATGAAGCGAATGGATATATTCAGTTCCCCAGTACAGAAATTAATCAATTGCAATTCTAAAAGCGTTTATATATTCAGCTGCTACTAGCCTGTATAAATATAGCAAACAGCAAGAAATTAAAGTGTAAAAGTATAGTCTATTATTAATTTTTTGTACAGTTGTTCGTATTCTTAAATTTAAGGTAAAATAATTTTGATTCCATCTTTGAACGATAGTCGAAAAAGTTGCACACCAGAAACAGTTACAAAAATTATCCAACTTGTGTTGCCCAACTAGTATATTGTCCTTTAAAATTTATTTGCCTTTTGTACAACTTTTGCCTAAAACTGTCGCATGCAACCTATATATAACTTTAGTTGTAGGACCTTGTACTGTGTGAATCAGGCACACAACTCACCTAAGTCGACCTGAGTTGTCGCAAGTGAGCTGTGTGCTTGATTTACACTGTAATACAACTGAAAACAGGTTGAACGCGACAATTTTAGCAAAAGTTGTGTTGTGTTAATCGGCTTTTATGCAGTTATGTTTGGTTTGTAGTCTCGAGGTTCGCGTCATATGGAAATTCTAATTAACAATTTAACAAACACAACAAACTGCATACTACAAAAGAGATGAATAAAATGTTTTGTTAGTACGTACACCTGTAAATAGGTCCGCTAACTTCTTAAGTGAAAAGATGCGGTAATCTGGCCAGTTAAATCTGGCCAGTTAAAGTCATTTTTAAATTGAAGTCGTTTTTAAGATGAAGTCATTTTTAAGATGAATTTAGGGTTTAAATTTATTTGCATGGCAGGTAATTATATTCTGTTTCAAACAAGAAGTTAATTGAAATTTGCCATTTTGTAATTACAGCAGTTGGAAGTGTATAAGGCAGACGGCAGTAAAATTGGTTTGAAGTACTAAAAAGGTAACAATATGAAAGGAAATTCAGTGAGCGTTTTATGTTGTTACTAAAAAGGTAAGTTCTACAATCGGCGAGCTAAAGCAAGCAACGTCTTTTATCCATACGGAAGCCAGATTGTCATGGGCTGTGACTGTGTTGTTTGTGTTAGTATGTGGTAGTCTTCAACGTCATATGGCAAAACATAACATTTTTTAGCGTTTTTTGTTCCTTACACGAGCATTATGACGCAAAATGCCCACAAAATTAGTTCCACCAATTTTTGAGTGAGTCGGCGTTGACAGAGACGTCGCTTGCTTGGGCTCACTGATAAATCATTCTTATATTTTGAAAGCTAGGATATCGTGGATGACAAATTATTCTTAAACATACTCTTATTGTTTTGATTATTAAAGAGATGGAGGAGCGACAGTACGCCAGAGACGCCGTCATGCTTCTGCAACAGGCAAGACGGGCAGGGTTGAGAAATTTTCAACGTGACGATTCTGATATAGTACGTATCGCCACGGACATCGCATTGGATTTGCAAAAAGAAAAATTGTAAGTTTAAATATTGAATTATTTTAGCTCGCAAGAAGGAGCGACGCGCCATGAGGGGTTTCAATTTAATAATGATTTCAAAACAATCTTATAAAATTTTAAAGCGAAAGGCAAAATGGCAAAAAGTGTTCCGAGCGCTGAACAGGGGCGGCGCTAAATGCGGGGTGGGGAGGTGGAACGCCCCCCCCCCCCCCATTTAACCTTGTAAGGGACTTCGTGTCCTATTGTTACTCTGCCTAGTATAAAATTGTTATTTTGTAATAATTTATATACTGAATTTAATAAATTCAAATCCAAATCCATGTCATCAGATAGTCGGCAAAATATTGAATCCCAGTCGGGAAATTGTTTTCGCAGCAGGCAAAACATGAATTTGAATAGGAAGAAAAAATCTAAAATATTTGAGTGACACTGATTAAAAATTAGTAATGATGGGTAAATGACTCGGCAAAAGTTCCCTTAATTAATAACTTGGCGAAATTTCCCTTCAAAGAGGTCTGGCACCAGCCCCGGTACTCAATCGTTGATTTAATTAATAATATAAGCCGGTCATTCTCTTTGAGATAAAAGAGTTTAGAAGTGATATACAGTATAAATAAAGTTACTAATGAGTAAACATTAAGATTTTGGCCATCTCGTAACTGTCGACCTTAAATCCCATTCAATTACAATTTTATTTTCAGACCTAACCGGAGCCTGTACTGTAGTGCATTTTTCGCAGTTGCTCGCGGTTAGGTTTAAAATTCCATATTCACTAAAATCCTATCTATACGTTTAGTGAAGTGTTCTTTTACCCAAGTTTTGTCTTTGTTCACAGCCCTGACTGGTATACCCTACTTGAAAATGACTTGGAAGCTGCTTCTTCAAAGCAAACACCCGAGAAAAGAAAATCGCAATCCGAGCAACAAGACGATAATGTAGAAGAAGAAATCAGTGAATTGTCAAACTCCAGCGATGAGAAAAGTACACCGACAACACCGACCGAGCGGATGAGGAGAAAACTATTATCTGTTAGACTATTAATGGAATCTACACCTGCACACAGTGAAATCCCACCTAGCCCTATTGAATCGCAAACACTGCGTTCATCTGGCATTATAACTGCGAAGTCTCCTCCCCCCAACCTGGAGCTACCCCTGATTACAGCCAGGTTTCGGCGCTCGTTTGCATTTTCAGCGATGAATCGTAGTAAGGAACGGGTATGACAGACTTTCAGACTGTGTTCGCAACAGGCTTGTAGCAAACTTGTCAACATTCAACATGTTGTAACAGCGCTGTCATTTTATCAAGTTGCTACAAGGTTGTTGACAAATTGCTGAATTGCAGCACGATAACAAGTTGTTGGAACAACTTTTAACACGTCTGTTGAGCTCAACAAACTTGTCAACAAACTTGTCTTGTTGTTAACAAGCAGTGCGAATACAACCTGTTGACAAGTTGTTGGAACAGCATTGCTACAAGTATGCTGCAGTTTGTTACACCTTGTGCGTTTTTACGAGTCAATAATAGATGGCCATTGCTGGAGCTTTATGCGACGCACAGTTTAGAACTGATACAGCTATCCAGTACAAGTTTAGGTTTCCTCCTGTAGTAATACTGGACCCGAATCAGGAATTGCAGTACTGTAAATACTTGGATATTCATGGGATAATCTTTTAGCACAATCATTTTACTTTTATTGGATTTACTTTATTATCCATAAGTTATCTTATTTGTACTTACAGCGAAGCAAACTTCCATCCACTGCCATTGGGCTTCGTTCAGAAAAATATTCCAGTCCCACTACTCAGAAAAATAGACGAGGAATGGAAAAGAAAATGAGAAGGTGATGATTTGTTAAAGGATGTATAGTCAGAAATGACGCAGTTTTTCGCAAGTGGGAATTTAAGTCTTTTTATTTGTTGCCTCTGTGTTCAGAAAAATCGGAAATTACTTCGTTCTTTAGAAAACCTTCGTTCAATTGCAGGATGGTAAGAGTGAAGTAAAACTCTTCTGAATACTCGTGCAATAGGACCCTCTCCAGCCGACAAAGTTTGCTGCCTAACATCTTAACATTTTAATTAAGGCCTAGAATTAAGTTCGTATAAGTGAGCTCATTGAATGACATTTACAATAGGTCATTTACATTTGAATAAGGATAAAGCTATTTGAAAGACAAGATTTCAACACAAACATTTATTTTAAAGGGCATATGACTCGAAAATTGACTGTGTTATTTTTTAGTCTGATTTGAAAGATAATTGAAAACTGTATAGAGTAACTTCTTTGACAGATTTTTGTTTTCTTGCTTCGTTTTGGAGATATTTCATTTTGTATGATATGCAAAGGACCAACTTCCTACGTCACATATGCATAATGATTTAGCCCTAAAACTAGCTGTATATCTTTAGTACGACTAAACACAATCAGTAGAAAACCTACATGGGTGTTGTTGTGGACAAATCTCGTGCTCATCATTAATTTTGAGCGAATTTATTTGATAGTGACAAAATTATATAATATTCTAACTAAAGTAAGTCATTATGCATATGTGATGTAGAAAGTTGGTCCTTTGTATATCATATACAAAATGAAATATCTCCAAAACGAAGCAAGAAAACAAAAATCTGTCAAAGAAGTTACTCTACAGTTTTCAATGATATTTCAAATTAGACTAAAAAATAACACCGTCAATTTTCGAGTCATATGCCCTTTAACGAAACTGTTTTCCATCCTTCGTGTTTAAACTCCCACACTGAAAAATGGAGTGTCCTTGTAATATTAAATGTGCATGCAAGAGTGTAAATAGACCCTCGACAGTCTGAAACAGAGACAAACATTACTTTTTAACACATTTGTCATAGCATTGAACAAAGACTATGTCGCGAGTACGTTCGAAATTTCTTTTTCAAAAGCACTCAACCGTCCTTATTAATATTTAAAAGAAAAAAATTAAAGTGTATTGTATCTGTATAATAAGCACTGAGCTGATTGCGTTAAGCCTCGAAGCATCATTAAAACTTGGCTGTCTTTCAAACAGAACAGGATATGGATTCGCCATTTGTATTAATATTATGCAGTCTGGAAGAATCACCTGTGCTTTGTCAATAAACACGACATATATGTTTATATAGCATAATTTTCAAATATATCTCTTCTTTTAGCCAAAAAAAGCTAACATATGAGCTCTTTGAAAACAACACTTGCCTGTATTTGGGTGACGAAAGTATACCAAGTCCCTTAATTTCATTTTCATTTTACCTTTGCAAAAATAAAATTAAGTAGGTGAGATAATTTTCGATTAACAAAGATAAGGCCCCATTGTTTGATCCCCATATTGAGCGTGTGTATAATGTTCATTTGTTGCCATAGAGAAACGTTTAAGTTTCTTATATTGCTTCGCATTGCAATTTTCTTCATTTCCTTTCAGGAAAAAGTGTTTTGGAGACGTGCTGAACTTTGAAATGGAAAATTCAAATATTTCTTCTGAGTAAGTTTATTGTGTGAGAAGTGTAAAGTTGTATGAAATGTTACATGCATGCACGAGTCCTGCTTGATTGTGTATTCTTTTCTCTTATCTTTTTTGGTATATATTGCTAGTAGTATATATTTGAATATTTTAAATTTTTTATTGTACAAATAATGCGCTTCATGTTACTATAGGTACTATTTCGTTGAAAGAACTGTGCTTCTGTTTTGTCTTTTAAACACTTTAAACGAGAAAAGGTTTATAACCTTTGTATAGCAGTAATTTCGCGCGCTTTCTTATTATGAGCGGATAAAAAGTTATTAAAAAATCTCGCTCTGCTTTTAAGCCCTGCGTTCGGTGAGGTGCTGAGCACTGTGGTTTTGTGCTTTTTCATCTGTGTTATACTGAGATTCGATTCCTATACAATATGCTGTTGCCTGATTATAATTGCACCTCGTTCGTGTGAAAAGTGTATTTCCCATTCGACTCCAACAAACAGCACAGACTTTCTCTTGGTACTCCGGTTTCCCCCGCAGTAACACCGGATCTATAAGAGATGCCTCTTCCTGGACCTCTTGGGGAGAACAGTTCAGAACTGATACAGCTACACTGAAAAAAATTTGAAAATCCATAGAAAGTCATAATAGAATGGAGATTGTATGGACCTTTATTGGAAATAGAATGGATTTTGATTATCCATATTAATTGTATATTTCCATAGTGTGGATATAGTATTGAAATAGGATGGATATACTATGGATTTAATGGTGCAATTGCAAATTTCATAGCATATGGATTTCACATTTTTTCCCAGTGCTATGATGGGCTATCCGTTAGAAATGAAGTTTCTCTCTTGCTGAGTTCTGTCACAAAGTTTCTTTGATAGTATTGGCGTAGAGACGCTTACTACAATTTTGACATTTAGTGAAAATCTTTAAATATAAGCTTCTGCTTTACCGATGATTAAAGTTTCAACATACTCTGAGCAAGCCGCATAATATACATTTTTTCAAAGAAAACTTAATGGAGTAAATAAGCTCTACGTCATCTTTGTTCGTAGACAAAGAAAGACTCAAAGTTCACTTCAAATTTTTAATCTCCATTCAATCGAATACAAATGAGATGGATTTCAATAAATGTAATGAAAATTAAATTGATTTGTTATCAAAGACATTTATAATTAGGTCAGAGCCTCTCATGCACTTCTGAGATTCTGGTTCGAGACCAAGGACAAAGGGTTAAAGCCGTGTGGAAGCAGATTCATCGATGTTTTTCTGTCCGTCCATCTTTTATTTTCTCTAGTTTGTTGATAACAAACGATGTGATTATTTTTCAGATATTGGGAAATCCCGTTTGATCCTTTCAGAGAAAGTATTCTTCGTTATCATAAAATTTTCAAGATTGAGAAATCAGAATCTGAAAATGAACAGGACTTATCATTAACCAAGGTTGGATGAATTATTCTCTGTATTTTACCCAATAATCTCATTTAGCCACTTCTTCAGTTATTGATTGCAGGCGCCGGCATTGACTGTTTGCAATTACGAATGTGAAGTAGTTTTATTTACAGAAAGAAATACTAATGCACACGGACTATTGGGAAATACGGAAGATTATGCGTTTCGTTAGGGTGAGTTGCTGTACATCTTTATTCACATTTATCATCGCCACAATATCATCACCATACCATAATTGGCACCATCATCTCTGTCAAAATCATATTACTACCATCGCCATCATCACCATCATCATAACCCACACGCACCACCACAATCAACGTCATCACCATCATAACTGTCAATTCCGTTATAATCACCATCACCACTATCACTATTATCATCGTCATCATCATTATTACCATCATCACCATCATCATGACAATCATCACAGTCCTCTGCTCATCATCATCACCACCATAATCAACACAATCATTACAGTCATCATCACCACCATCATCACAATCATCATCACCTCCATCATCATCACTACCATCATTATCACCAACACCATCTATCATCACAATCATTGTCATCATCATTATCATCATCACCATCTATCATCATCACCATCATCAACACAATCATTATCATCGCCAGCATCATCATCTATCATCACAATCATTATCATCATCATCACCACCTTCCGTCATCACCACCATGGCCATCAAAAACTCACTTGTGACCTGTGGCAATTCCTAGATCGGCAATCCAACAGCAACAGTCTTGGCGCTGTGTGCTCTCAAGAAACTTGAGATCCAAAAACCTGCAAGCAATGAAATAATCCGGCACCTTGATGGCATATCCTTGTTCCTTAATATTCTTGATACAGATAACCGTCGATGTCGAGTGAGTGAGAATTCCTCAACATCATCTAAATTAAACTGACTTTATATTTACACTGTATATCCCTATCTACGTCCACAGCTCCAGAAAGGGCCACCTCTACTTCTATTTTGCTTATCAAAACTTAATTTCAATAGGTTGCTGCACTAATGGTGCTTGTATGTTTGGCAAGTTCTCCGAAAACATCGAATATAATTTTAAAGAGAAACGGTAAGTCGTGCTCGTTTTTATAGTTGCTGTAGACCCTGGACACAACGTCTCAAATATATCGACACATTCTCCATGGAATTTTCATAGCAATGAAAAGACAATGGAAGATTTTGATTACTAAATCATGAGTGGATGACATCATTGTTATGCCGTGTTTTGCCCATTCTTATACTTTTGTTCGATCGAGTTTCGAAACCCTCTATTCCATTGACTATGAGTCAAACTGCGCTATTCTCACAAGCGACTGAGGAGAAAATAAATATAGACATTATAATCAGACAATTGCAGAAATTCAGCTCCAGTGGCAGAGGGAAAAGACACACACATATTTAATGAAAAAATCATGAACAGTAGTTTCCTGAGGAAGTTCGTTTCACCTCCTATAGGTATTCAACAGTTGGTTTCCATTCTCAGCGAAGATGACAAAGTTGTTGTGTCTTTAGCTTGCGATGTTCTCTCGTTAATGGCCAAACATAGCAATGTCCGGGTGGTCGCAAATAAAATGAACATTGTGAAAAAGCTGGTAAGATAAATCTACTAAGTCGTTAGTTTTTCAATAGATTAATGCTTAGTTTGCTGCTGTTTTACTTGTAGATGTCGGTATTTAAAGCTTGTGTTAAAAAAGCTTTGCAAGGTGAAAACCTGGAACTATTTCGCAGTGTTTGCGACGCTCTCTGGAGTTGTTGTTTGTCAGCAAGAGATAAAGATATCAAGATAATATCAGAATCGTTGGATGTTATTTCTCGTATGATGGAAACATTGGATGAAGAACTGGTCGTCCCTTTATTGGGAATTATTGAAGAGTGTGCAAGCGTGGTATGTTTTGCAAATAAAAAAATGAACACAGGATCAGATGGCATGTTACTAATTTTATTTATACCGAATAGCTCCATCATGTCTAAGGTGTTTCTTCCAATAGTCTAGTAACCTTTTTGGTGCTGTGTTACTACAGGAGAAAACCTAAACAAACTTAACTTTGTTTAGACTCTTCATGTTCAATATCTCTCTATTGTTTATGAACTGTTCTTCCTAGAGGTTCAGTAAGGGCCATCCCTCATTGCCCATACAAACCCGAATGTAAATGATGAAGATGTCTTCATTTTCTTTCAAAGGAATATTTTCGTGGTGAATTGGAGAAAGAAAATTTTATCGAGAAAGTGATATCGATAATGGAATCTAAACGGACCAAAGTTCTCTCTGTGAAAATTCTTTTTAAGGTGAGAGTTGTTAGGATCTTTGCACCTTGGCATTCTGTCCGTTGTAAGTTGCAGTAAAAGTTTCCTTGTGTGATAGTTGAGTTTCCTGTTTAGTGTTCAAGCGATGAAACGTCTCAAAAGACATTATTGAAGCCGAACAACATTCAAGAAATAATGGAATTATTTAAACAGAATTGTCAAGGAAGAAATGATGAATTGTTAACTTTACTGCTGGGTATCATCTGGAGGTGTTCCTTGAATAGAGAATTTAGGAAAAAGTAAGTAGGTCGGAGAGGCCTATTGTCGGTATGCTGATACAGTGAGGGAGTCGACCTATCCCAATTTCGCGCTAGACCAGGGAAGGCCACACCTGCTGTGAGCTCCCGTGCAGTAATTTTTGTCTTATTCATGAGTGGAAAGTGCGTACGCGACTCACATGAGCTATGGTGTTGATTTACTGCAAATATCCTTGTAGGTTTGAAACTCATGGTGTTTTTCCTCTTCTATCAAATATACTCAAGTCTGATAAAAGCATTCAGGTTTGTATAACGTTCTAGCCACTGAGCTCCGTGTATATAACTCAAGTGCGAATCTCATTCACTTGCTCGAATGAGAAGTGAAGCCGAGGATGGATATCAGTTTTAAAACTAGTTTTTCATGACAATTTTTCAGGTAAAAAGTGCTGCACTCGGTGTATTATCTGAGCTGCTCTGGGACGAAGCTGACACAGATTCCATAGGCAGCAGTGAAATGATAAACCTTTTGATCGATTTCATGTCTGTAACTGAGCCTGCCATATTGGTGAACAGCGCACGATCGCTGGGAGTATGCGCTCGTAACAATTCTTGGAGAAAGTAAGTTTAAAAAAATTAAAAGTATAATTACCTAGGACCTCTAGTAGGGAGAACAATTTAAAATTATACTGTTAGAGTTTAATCTAAGATAGAGCTTAATTTAAGTTTCATTTAAATAGAACTGATAAAGTTTAATTTAATTTAAGTTTAGATTTAGTCTTTTACAAATGTAATTTATTGATTTTTAGGACAATTTTGCAACTTGATGGGCTGCGTCTCCTGTGGTCTTTGCTAAAGAGCTCTGATGAGGAGGTATACGCATGCGCAGAATTTCAAAGAATCAGAAAAAAATGCAATTTTCTAAAACTGAATTTCTTGTAACTTATAAATTAGGTGATGTCAAGTGGTGCTGTAGCTCTTGCGTCTGTTTGTGCGTATCCAGAGGTGAGGAAATTGCAGTAAAAAAGAGGACTGTTCACTATTTGCTGCATACTTTACTGACTGTAGAGATACATCGACATGATTCAACACGCTCTTCAATTACCTTGCAGGAATCGGCAAACGCTGTTCGTTCAATTGTGGGCGGAATAGAGCTTCTCATGACCTTACTAGCTTGCATGGACCTCACGAAATGCAAAGTAAGTGGTGAAATCTTTTCCGTAAATTGACAGATAATTACTGAATTTTGAGCTTAATAATTGATACATAAATAATCTTTACATAAATATTTCAAATCAGTGACTGGATGGCATGGAGAACATTCGATCACTGGGTCATATGACAGGATTTCATTCGATCATTTACGTACTAAAGCTCATTTGTGGCAAGACTCCTCTTGTCTCCTCCCCTTCGAAATTTATCTTGTTTTTTACAATCCGGTATATTTTTTAGGTTTTGATATGTTTATGCGAGGCAGCAGTGAGCATCGCCAAAGACGCAGAGAATCGTTCCATTCTCATAGATTACGATCTTATTCCAGTTCTCCTGAGATTGAGTGAATCGGTATGAAATAATAGTCGCATGAAATATTTCAATTTCACACCAGGATTATTTGTACCGTGCTCTGTTAGGCAACCGTGAGGACGCCCCAAACATGACCCTAATCCAAACATGACCCTAACCCTAACCCCAACCCAACCTTCTAACCTTCTAAATAACTATGGGAATCTAGATAACTCAAAATAACCTCTAATAAAGCCATAATACTTGAATATGTGCCATCCTTTCCTTTTTATAGGAAAACAAGATTTTGAGATATTATGTGACCTGTCTTATTTCAAGGTTAGTTTTCGCGTGCATGTTCTACCTTACCAGCCTTCTGAAAAACGAACCTTTAAACGAGCCCGGCTACATAGGCGGCTAGTTTCGACTAGATTACCGACACCATTATTCCATTACATCCAAATAAATGTCTTCTTTTTCCTGCCCATAGGTGCTGTGAGTCTCCGAAGGAGCGAAGTGTTTTCTCACGATGTATTCCGTATTTGATCGAGGGGCTTGGGCATGAATATGGTGAACATGTTCATTGCGCATCCATCTGCGCATTGAACAAACTATCACGTGACTTTGAAAATTGTGTGTTTTTGAGGGAAAGCAGCACGACAAAGGTACTTTACGTTCCTACAACTTCTTGTAATCTATAATCATGTGTTCCATGCAGACCATTTTAGGTGCTAGTGGCACACGACAAGTTTCCAGAGCTTTCTTGTCGGCGCAATGGAGAAAACGGATATAGCTTTCAGTTTTGTCGACAGGAGGAAACCAAAACGACTTTATTCTTACTCGAATTTGCAGGAAGCTTTATCAGTTCTAAATTATTCTCCTTAGCAGTAGAGAAGCTAGCCATAGCAACAGGTGATGCTATGCAAATTTTTAATGATTTGCATTATTCAAACTTTTAGAAATGTATCGTCTTAGCATAGCATGACCAGTTGCCATAGGTAGCTTCGCCACTCAGTCAGACTGGAGATCAAAGTATTCTCATCTGTGTAGATCCTGATGAATCTGCTGGCATCAAGTAACGAGAGAATACAAGATGCAGCCGCTGAGTGTTTGTCTAATGTGAGAAAGTCCATGATGTCAGTTGGCTGAGGTATATAACATAACATAGAGATATGGAAGATTGTAAGATGAGATACCCAGATATCCGACTCGAGGGGCGCGCCATGCGGGATTCATACTAGTGGGTCAAACTGACCGTGATTCATTTCGGAAGACGAACGGGAATGCATAGGCGTACCGGGAGGGGGGGGGGGCTGGAGTTTTTGTAACGTCGGGCAGATTGTACGTAAAATTGGTGGCCCTGGTGACCAGGATAAGGCTGCTGTTAAGGGGTGAGGTCAGGATTATGGCGAACTAAAGCTACGTAGTGTTTCCACAAACAAAACTATTATAACTATATTCTAATTATAAAACGAAAGGCCCAGCTTTTTGCTGTAAATAGGACCATTACACAACATATGTATGAAAATGTTCTTAAATATGAATAGTAAGGTTTGGTCTTGACTCGAGACATCTTAAAAATAACGATGCAATTAAAATAACGTATAGGTAATGAATTAATTTTTAGTTACATTTGAGCCACAAGATTAAAAAATTACAACAATAAATATAAAATTAAATAATATTACATCGCTATATATAACGATTGAATATCTAAAGAACTTAAAGAACGAAGTCGAGGCCTGAACACAAATGGTCTTTAGACAAGGCTCTTCACGTTGACTTTATTCGTTCGATTTGCATTTTTGTCGCGTCTAATTTTTCGAAGATATCGTCAAAAGATCGTACAATATGCAAATGTTCGCGCATTTCTTTTCGCAGTCTCTTTCGCTCGCTGTCTTCAAGATTTGCCGAGCGTTTTACGTCTTTGCGAAAGTCAACAACTTGTCCGTTGGCAATGACAAGAAGTCCTTCTTTGATATGCACTGGTACCGACGCTGAAATTTTCTTTTTACTTTGCCTCGACTGCTTACATTTTGGTCTTTGTGGAGTTTTTGGTGTTATCCGCTGACCGAGATTGGGATGTACTGCAGGCGCAGAATTCTTGGGCGCCATTTTGACTGACTGAGCCCGCACTGCATCACGGAAGTTTCCGCTGAAATCAACATAGCAGCTTCGAGCGGCAGCCGAATGACGTATCAACAATTTTCGAGAATGTTCACGGGATTTTGAGCTTGGATAGTTCCTATTGGTGTATTGCGAATCACGTGTTAAACTGGACGTCTTTGTACTTACAGCCGTTCTTGAAGCTTTCCGCGCCGCTGGTTTCCGTTCCCGCAGTAACGCCGTCCGCGTTTCGTCTGATATTCCAAACAGTCTAATTTCTTCACCAAGTTCATGGATATCGTAACATCCCACAATTCCTTTTTGATTTGGTACTTGGTTGTTCGCAAAAGACTGGGAACGAGTGATGGGTGTTAGTGTACGTGGAGGGGTAGAGAGGAGTGATTGGTGTAATGTGGGATACGTGACTTCAACAGAGATGACATTCATTTGCGCTATAGAAAATTAGAATCACAATATCGTTTGCATTGTTACTGATATTCCATTATAAAATCTATAGTCACTTCAACAATATCATAAGTCTGGCTCACACTGTGAAAGTTTCTGTGATCACAGTAGGAATTTTGCATGAGTAAATTCAAAGTTTTGAAGGATTTGTAAGAAATGTTTGAGGGAACTTACTCACTGTTTAACACTAAGTCAGTTCTCTTAACTATTTCTTACAAATCCTTCAAAACTTCGATAGTATACAACAGTCTTTACTGATATTCCATTATAGAATTAACTGATCTGTAATCACCTCAACATTATCATATAAACATTGTCGTCAAAATCACCCTTGGGAAACGTTTAAGCGTCCAGTAAAGGAAATGTTATTTCCGCATCGATATTTCAAAGGCTGGACAAAAAGGGAAAAAATTAAACGTTTTCTAGTTAGTTCGAAACTGACTTGTGGAATTAGCGAGACGTGTACGCATTTGCCAACACCGTTTTATATATGAGTGCTTTTCTTTGAAATAAAGGTACACTGTACGTCTTGACACAATGTTTAAACACAGTACTTATCGTATATAATGGCATATAGTAATATTAAAACAATGAACACATAGAAGAATACATAATTTTCTCTTAGCAACCCATTTCAAAATTGAAAACTAAATTCTTCAAAATTCTGTCTGTTTCCCCTTAGATATAGAACAAGAAGTTATATAGAACTATATCTCAGTGAAAAAACATGATGTACATACAGTCATTATCTACAGTTTGCAAACACTGTTTTATCGGTGAAAGTAATTTATCATTCACAATGACGATAAGAAGTACTATATACTATACTTATATTAAAATGTCTCTTACCAAAAGCCACAATTCTCAGGTTTTCACTTCATTCAGGATTTCTCACCGAAAGCAAAAAGAATGCAATGATATTTTAAACACAAGGTGAAATATGATTAAAAGAAAAGTATTTATGTTTCGGTTATGCACAAACAAAAGCTATGTATATATTAACTGATGGTTAATATCAGCTGATATTAGCTCCAATAACATGTCGCATAGTGTCGAGCAGGTGTTTAATAAATAATTAAAAGCGCACACATTCAATTATTAATGATTTCGATGATTGGACATTGCTATTCAGCCCACTTACACACGTAAAAATTTCATATCTTGTAGCAAGTCTGTCGACAAGCCGTCAATAAGTTGTGTTCGCACTGCTTGTCCCAAGTTGTCAACAAGCATGGAATAACTTGTTAACAGTTGTAACAAGCTTGTTGGTATTTATCAGAATTGTTGCAACAAGTCCGACACAGTCATGATATAACAATATTGTTACAATCTTGTGTCCTCAACCTTTTAACATTCTTGTTATATCATGACTGTATCAAACTTGTTAGAACAACCTTGTAACAAGTCTGATAATGCCATCAAGCTTGTTGCAAGTTGTTAACAGCTTGTTCAAAACTTGTTACAAAACCGGAGACAGCACCATGAACAAATTCTACAGTCCCAATATCGAGATGGAAATATTTTCATTATCTTTTATTTACAATAATTTTAAACACTGCATATAAACCACAGATAAATGTACAAGTTCGACGTTTTTCTTAACTTTAAACGGCAATTGGGTTCCCAAACCCAACGCGTTCTTGCATGGTATGTAGTTGCTTTAAAAGATCCTCATTCTGAAGGTTTAGCTACAAATGGAGGAAAGTAACTTTTATGAAAAACAAAAAGGCAAAAAAACAGACTAACCGCCCATCAGGCGCGCCCACCAGGCGCGCCCACCAGGCGGGTATTTATTGTTTGGTTCAAAATAAAGATAGTCTTACTTTGATGGCGTATTTATACGACTGTTCCGCCTCTAGTTGTCTTCCAGTCTAAAAAATTGAATTCAGAATTGACGTTTATGTGCATATGAGACTAGAATTTGCCTGATTTCTATTCTTGAAATGGACCATACTTCTGTTGTACCATAGTGGTCCTTCTGGTCCTTCACCGTCACGTGTGTATTGTATTTTTGCCCAACTAACCAATAGGAATGACTTAGGAATGTTACCTATCCGTAACTCGAACAATAGGGTAAACTGGAAATTGCTATTGGTGGATTTGGCTAAAATACAATACACACGTGACGGTGAAAGACTATATTTGTGAATAAACGTTGAATAACATGGATAATGAGTTATATTGTTATTGTAATGAGTTTCCAAACCATCTATTCTATTAACTATGGTTGTACCAAGCTTCACTACGCTCTCAATAAGCGCAGAAGCCCTGGCTACGAGGTTGACATGAAGTGGACGAATACGATCACTATGAAATACCCACCCCCGTGCGTGGTTGAGACGAAACTTAAATATTTGGCTCGAAACCATTTGCTGATACTATAGTCTCTCACCTTTAAACAAACCAGAGAGAGGTATGCCCAAATTTCAGCATCTGTGTTGTTGAGAATGTTTGCTTCGGACAAAGCATCTTCAGCTTCTTTCAGAGATCCCAACTAGCAATAAAAAATAATTTGTATTTAACCTTCATGGTTGAACCAAGATGTAGCTCAGTTGGTTCGAGCACTGCACCGGATTCGCTGGTTCGATTCCTGTCTGTATAGTTGCAATTGTCGCAGGTGTTCCTGGTTACATCTAAAATTGTATATAATCTTCCGAAATTTCCATCGACAAAAATCGTTCAACTATAGTTCTCTCCAGCAAGATGGCCAAAAATCCCGGTGGTTTAAAATAGCTCACCTCGTAGCACGATATCCCGACTCCAAGCCACGAAACAGGCGAGGGATTGCGTTTACAAGCAAGAAGGAACTGTTTTTTCGCCTTGTCAAACTAAAGAATGAAAAAATAGATATTAATGATAATATTTGCAGTAACGGAAGTCCGGGTTTACGAAAAGAGAGCTGTTGGAAATGGATAATCGCTGTGTTTCCACAAATGTCAAGTGTGTCTTATACCTGTCCTTCTGTGACGTATATATTTGCCAGGCGTAGAAGTACGCTATGGATGTCTGTGGGCTCATCTACGTAGGCCAGCGTTCTTTCGTAACATTCACGTGCTTTGTCCATTCTTTGGGTGAGGTAGTTCACGTGTCCTAACAATGACCACGCGTTTGAGCTCTGAAAGTAAGATTTATGATGTAAAAATCTCCCACCTTAAAAAACTTTTCATTTGGGTGTAACAACATACATATTGCTGTACATTTCTGACTCTTGTTCAACAGATTACGACGCAACGTTTAGGCTACGTTTACACTAGCTTTCCGTATAGTGACGTGAAAAAACACATATCAGTATCTTTTAGGAACGCTATTTTCAGAGGAATTATTGCAACGGAGAGATGTTGTTTCGCTCAGCTTCTGAAAGTTGTACATTCCGTATCGGATAGGTACTTTTTCGCGCTGCTAAGGAAAGCTATTCGGTATAGTGGAAACACAACAGTTGAGACACAACAGTTTCCAGTGTCTCTATGCATTCCAGTGTCTCTATGCATTCCAGTGTCTCTATGCATTCAAATTATCCCTTACCTGATGGTCCAGTTTCAAAGCTTGGTTCAAGTTCTCCTCAGCCTCGTCGTAATTCTCATTTTGAATATGAAGTCTTGCCAACAAAGTGTGATACAAAGCTGAGAGTCCATTACTCACAAGTTCATGAGCCAAGGCGCCTTCTGCAAGCTAAAATGTACATAAAAAACAGTACACACAATGTAACAATGTTGTTATTTTATCAAGTTGACTAAGTTGCTACAAGGTTGTCACTCACAACTTGTTGACACATTGTTGAATTGCAGGACGGTAACAAGTTGTTGGAACAACTTGTAACAAGTCTGTTGAGCTCAACAAACTTGTAGCAAGTTGTCAAAAGCCGTTGACAACTTGTCAACAAGCTGGGAACAAGCAGTGCGAACACATCCTGTTGACAAGTTGTTGGAACAGCATTGCTACATGTCTGCTGCAGGTTTGTTACAACTTGTGCGTTTTTATGTGTGTAGTTTTTACAACGAAACAGTGTAAGATCAATCAGCTTGTGTTGGTGAATATGAAGCTTGTGTTGGTGAATATGAAGCTTATACTTGGAACTTGCGTTGGTGAATACGAAGCTTACTTGCACTTACCACTAACGCATTCACATTCAAAAGGAAGTCCGCTGTCTGAAGGAATATGCTGATTGGTGGCGCAGGAGGCGGTGTTGGTTCAGTTAATAATTTATCGTCCATTTCTGTCGTTGATTCGTTGTGGTTTAAATCCACAGCAGTGTGTTCAGACGATTGCGGTCTTGGAGTGTTCTTCTGTGTTTTGATCACGGAGCTGCGTCGTTTTTGAACGCTTGTTTCCTGGATTTCTGCACTTTCCCTTCGTGACACATCATTGTTCACTGATGTGAAAAATAAGTTATCCTTAAAACAAACCGTTTGAATATTTTCGACTTAGTATAAACATCACTCACCAGACGGCTTTCGTTCCGCGCCATTCTGCTCGGCAAGTACGGCAACTGGTGTAAGTTTCTTAGGAATGGAAGCTGCATTGGCTCGCGTCGCTTCAAGGAAAGCTCTTTCAGCACCGATATCATTCTGGAAACTGTCGTAGTACAGACCTGTTTGAATAGAAAATGACTTCTTTTACACAGCACGGAGAAGCAAAATATGATTCATACTACATGAAGTATTACCTAAAGTTGTCCATGCCAGTATACTCTTCTCGTCAACGCATGTTGCTGCTTCAAAAAATGTCTCCACTTCTTCATATTTCTCTTGCATCAACGACACACAGCCGTTCAATAAAAGACTAAACAATTTGAAAGTTCCGATATGTTGAAGTGTTTTCATTTCATGACTTTTAATGGCGTTCATTGCCTAATATAATATAATTATTCATGGATTTGTAATTTAATAATGCTCAAAAAATTTCTTCTTCTTCTTTTATATTTCTTGTGTAAAATGTGGAACTCTTACCCTTTAAAATGTTGCTGATTTATTGCAATAACCTCCCTGAAACATTCGTCAGCCTAAAGTAAACAACGTGGAATAGACTATATGTTTTAAACAGGGCGCTCATATGATGGCGCTCATGTAGACAGTCTACAATGCTAGGTATATACCTTAGAAATGTCTCCAATAAGCAGGCAATATGTTCCGTAGTCAAACCAGTATTCTGGGTCGTTTTTGTTTTTGGCTAATCTCTAAATACAACAAAGTAAGAAGTATAACAATATTGAACATTTTTGTCTCGCGTACGACCAAACAAAACTTGTCAAGCAAACTTGTTAAGGACAGCTTGTATATTCGAGGCTTAAACTAACCTCTTGATAATATTTCGCCGCAAGTTCGTAATTCTGATTAACCTACAGAAGTGTGAATATTCTTCAATCAGTCTTTATATTCACATAATATAGCACAAAAACTTCAGTATTGTAAAAACATCATGAGTCTTGCATATACCTCTGCCTCTTCAGCGAAATGTTTTAACATATCGTTATCAACTATTGATGTCGGAATCTGTGCTTCCTCGTCGACAGATAACGCCTGAAAATACGTTTAATATACGGGGAGAATGAATACCTACGTGCTATCAGAGATGAGCGAGCAAGGCTGACAATTACTTAAAATATGTGAACCAACCAAGTGAAGTCTAAAGTACATGTATTGCGACCGTGCCAGCAAGATCCCCAGTCAAAATATCACGACTTGCCTTATTTAGTCCTTTGTGCATTTCATCAATGAGAAAAACATAAAGATCGCTGAGAAATGCTTGAA